GAATCAATGGAAATAAAGTCGGTTTTTTGAAAGGATAAACAAAATCAGTAGATCACTAGCTAGATTAAAGAAAAAAGAGAGATCCAAATAAGCACAATCAGAAATGACAAAGGTGACATTGTAACCAATCCCACAGAAATACAACAGATCCTTGGAGACTATTATAAACACCTCTACACACACAAACTAGAAAATATAGACGAAATGGTGTATCAGTCCATTTTCGTGCTGCTGATAAAGACATACTTGAGACTGGGCAATTTATGAAAGAAAGAGGTTTACTGGATTTACAGTTCCATGTGGCTGGGAGGCTTCACAATTATGGCAGAAGGTGAAAGACACATCTCATACAGTGGCAGACAAGAGAAGAGAGCTTGGGCAGGGAAACTCTCCCTTATATAATCATCAGATCTCATAAGACTTATTCACTATCATGAGAACAGCACAAGAAAGATGTCCCCATGATTCAACTACCTCCCATCAGGTCCCTCACACAACATGTGTGAATTTAAGATGAGATTTGGGTGGAAACAGAGCCAAACCATATCAAATAGATAAATTTCTGGGACCACACAATCTCCCAAGATCGAATCAGGAAGAAATTGAAAAACTGAACAGACCAATATCAGGTTCCAAAATTGAATCCATAAAAAAAAAAACCTACCAACCAAAAAAAAAAAGAAAATGCCCAGGGCAGATGGATTCACAGCCAAATTCTACCAGATACACAAAGAGAAGAAGAGCTAGTACCAATTCTACTGAAACTATTTCAAAAAAAATCAATGAGAAGGAACTCCTCCCTAACTCATTCTACAAAGCCAACATCACCCTGATACCAAAATCTGGCAAAACACAATGAAAAAGAAAACTACAAGCCAATATTCCCAATCAACATAGACGTGGAAATTCTCAACAAAATTTTAGCAAATTAAATCCAGCAGCACATCGAGAGTTAATATACCATGATCAAGTAGGCTTTATTTCTGGGATGCAAGTCTGGTTCAACATCCAGCAAATCAATAACTGTGGTTCACCACATAAACAGAATCAAAAACAAAACCGTAGACATAAAGGAAGCTTTTGATAAGATCCAATATCTCTTCATGATAAAAAGCCTCAACAGACTAGGCACTGAAGGAACATACTTCAAAATAATAGGAGCCATCAAGCTCCTATTATTTTTGGGACAAGTCCACAGCCAATATCGTACTGAATGGGCAAAAGCTGGAACCGTTCCCTTTGAGAACTGGAACAAGAAAAGGATGCCCATTCCCACTACTCCTATTCAACATAATACTAGAAATGCTAGCCAAAGCAATTAGGCAAAAGAAAGAAATAAAAGTCATCCAAATAAGAAAAAGAGGTCAAACTATTTCTCTTTGCGGGCAATATGATTTTATATTTAAAACACCCTAAGGACTCTACCAAAAGGTTTCTGGAGGTGACAAACAACTTCAGCAAAGTTTCAGGATGCAGAATCAATGTACAAAAATCAGTAGGATTTCTATACACCAATGTTCAAGGTGAGAGTCAAATCAAGAACACACTCCCATTTACAATATCCACACACACACACACAAACCTTAGGAATACATGCAACCAAGGAGGTAAAAGATTTCTATAAAGAGAATGACAAAATACTGCTGAAAGAAATAACAGATGACATAAACAAATGAAGAAACATTCCATGCTTGTGGATTGGAAGAATAAATATTGTTAAAATAGCCATACTGCCCAAAAATATCTACAGATTCAACACTATTCATATTGAATTACCAACATAATTTTTCACAGAATTAGAAAAAAATGGCTGTGTGTGGTGGCTCATGCCTGTAATTCCAGCACTTTAGGAGGCCGAGGCGGATGAATTGCAAGATCAGGAGTTTGAGACCACCCTGGCCAACATGGTGAAACCTCATCTCTACTAAAAACACAAAACATTAGCTGGTTTTCATGGTGGGCACCTGTAATCCCTACTACTCAGGAGGCTGAGGCAGAAGAACCACTTGAACCCAGGAGGCAGAGGTTGCAGTGAGCCAAGATCACGCCATTGCACTCCAGCTTGGGTGACAGTGCAAGACACTGTCTCAAAAAGAAAACAAAAACAAACAAACAAAAAAACCAAAAAGCCAGGACATCACAATACTATAGAAGCATAGTAACCAAAGCAGCATGCTACTGGTACAAAAACAGACACATAGACCAATGGAACAGAATAGAGAACCTATAAACAATCTAGTCTTCAACAAAGTTGACAATACAAGCAATGGGGAAAGAACTCCCTATTCAATAACTGGTACTAGGATAACTGACTAGCCATATACAGAGGAATGAAACTGAAACTATTTCATTCTTTCCCCTGCCTTTCACTGTATGCAAAACTTCACTCAAGATGGATTAAAGGTTTAAATATAAGACCTCGAACTATAAGAATCCTAGAAGACAACCTAGGAAGCACTATTCTCCACACTGGCCTTGGCAAATAATTTATGACTAAGTCTTCAAAAGCAATTGCAACAAAAACAGGAACTGACAAGGAGGACCTAATTAAACTAAAGAGTTTCTGCACAGCAGAAGAAACTATCAATAGAATAAACAGACAACCTACAGTGTGGGAGAAAACACTCCCAAACTGTGCATCCGACAAAAGCCTAATATCCAGAATTTATAAAGAACTTAAACAATTGAACAAGCAAAAAACAACCCCATTAAAAATGCATGAAAGACATGGACAGATGTGTCTCAAATGAAGACATATAAGCAGCCAACAAACATGAAAAAGTGCTCATCATCACTAATCATTAGAGAAATACAAATCAAAACCACAATGAGATACTATCTCACACCATTCAGAATGACTGTTATTAAAAAGTCAAAAACAACAGATATGAGGAGGCTGCAGAGAAAAGGAAACGTATACACTGTTAGCGGGAATGTAAACTAGTTCAGCCACTATGGACAGTAGTTTGGAGATTTCTCAAAGAACTTAAAACAGAACTACCATTTGATGCAGCAATGGCATTACTGGGGATTATATATACATACAAATTATTCTACCAAAAAGACACATGCACTTGCATGTTCATCATAGCACCACTTACAATAAATAGCAAAGACATGGAATCAACTGAGGTGTTCATCAGTGGTGGGTTGAATGAAGAAAATGTGGTTCATATATGCCATGAAACACTATACAGCCACAAAAAAGACCCAAATCATGTCCTTTGCAGCAATATGGATGCAGCTGAAACCCATTATCCTAAGCAAATTAACACAGCAAAAGAAAACCAAATATTGCATGTTCTCACTTATAAGTGGGAGTTAAACATTGGGTACTCGTGGATGTAAAGATGGCAACATTAGACACCGGGGATTTCTACAGAGGGAAGGGAGTGAGGGGTCAAGGGTTGAAAAACTAACTGCTGGGTATTATGCTCAGTACCTGGGTGATGGAATTACTTGAATCCTAAGCCCATCATAACGCAATATACCCAGGTAACAAACTTGCACATGTATCCCCGGAATCTAAAATAAAAATTGGAAAAAAAAAGATTTTTTAAAAATTATTGCCCAAAGAATACTTTCATATATTATCAGCAGATATTCTCTTTTTTGTATATTGAATTTAAGTCAGAATGATTTAGGTAATGTTTAATGCATTAGTCTCTTTTACCTCAAGAAAGTAATACTGTCATAGAAAGCAGAAGGAAATATAAGGAGGTGCTGGAGATTGATAATCTTCTTGGCAGGAGGACACCCAAGTCAGCAGTTTCTTATATAATCCTATAATAATAAAAGCAGTACAAGAATGGTCCAAAAAAAGAATTAATTGCTTACAATAAGATCAATATCTGTACCTTGGAATAATGTGTACAAGATGATTAGGAAAACACTGTAATTTCAACAGGCAAACTCTGAACAACTAATTCAAGTAAAAGACAATACCTAACAATGGGGAAAACAGTAATCTAAGAAATGCAAATTAAAAAAAAATAAAGTATTAGCATTTGCTTTTTTAATTGACAAATTTTTTATTCATTGGTAAAATCTATTTCCTTTGAAATAGAAGAGGAAATAGATGAAAATTGAGAGATAATGATTTTCTCATATTTTGCTGGTAGAAGAGTAATAACAACTTGTAACAAAGTTAGAAGAATGCTCACACACTTTGAATTAGTGATTATACTTCCAGGAATTAATCCAAAGTAAATTATTCTTATAGTAAATGTGTATAAAACATCCAAGGCACCACTACTTTTAATGACAAAAGAAAGAGCTCAAGTGTCTAACAACAAGATTGTCTACAGAACATCCATATGAGGAAATATCATGCAACCATTAAAAGGGTTGGTTGTACAGGTCAATGTAAAATATGAAGAGGAAGGCAAAATATGCAACATACAACACATACACATCTTTTGACATGAAAAGGGTCTCAAAAAGATCAATACAAATTAATTATGGAATTAGAAGGATGACAGTAGGAGTGGTTTTGTTCACTTCTCTCATTTTATGTGGTTCTATTGATTTTTATAATCAAAAACATGATTATGAAACTGTTAAACATTATTGAAATATAAATTATTTGAAAGTTATTTATTTCTTCTTAACACCCTTTGCATTCAGCAATACTGGTTTGATGAGAGGGGGTTTTTATAGTCTGAACTGAAGCTCAATGAGTGGTAATGGATTAAGTCAATGCTTCTCACAATGGACAATCCTCCTCCTGACAATCCATAAACTATACCTGTTCATTTTAGCAGGCATCAGTGGCTTCTCAGACTCTGACTCCTAGGTTAAATCATTCTGCCACCACTCTATGAATGACAAGGGATTCACACTCACGTGCTCAATTCCTTCCTTGGCCTTAGCAAAAATGACCAAATGTTTCTTATGGGAATCAAATTGACCCTCTAATACATCCTACTCTGGGTTGTAAGTCGATGTTGAAAAATACCAAAGCCCTCTATGTTTTTGTTTTTTCTTTACACTTCTATTAGGAACGAGTGAGATTGTTATGAAGACCGAAGCATGTATTAATGCTGTGGCTGAGAGGCGTCCTGCTGCAGAAACACACTTCCCTACATCAAGAAGGAGCAACATCAAGTTGGATCCTGTGTGGACGACCTTGGTGCTAAGCAGAAAAGAAGTTTGGACCTTGAGACCAGCCAGTTCAACACATATACTTTTTGCAAAATTTCCTTGATTTAAAATATTCGTTATTTTAAATATACAAAACATTTTAGAAATTCTTAGAGTAAATTTTAGTCTTAGAGCCAGAAAATAAGTTTATAGCCATCTAGATATTTTGCATGTTGCTCTTACAGCAATGATGGTTTGGTTCACTTTGTGAAATGAAAAATAAAATGTATTCAAATATAGTTTAAATGTTGTTCTTGATCCAAGTATTGATTCGTTTCACTCATTGCACTTCACTCATCTCGGTAGCTCTCAGAGAATTACAATAGTGAGGAATGAAAACTGATTCAGACTGAATCAGGCAACTTAGGCCTAAGTGAAACTTTCAGTAATCATTTTATTCACCATTATACTCACAGCAATGAGCACAACGCCTGGCGTGTAATTTGAGAAAATAGTCTTAACAGTGACGAGTTAGTCCATGCTTTCTCTGTTTTAGGCATCCAACACATGCCATAGAGTTATGATGAACTCATTTTGTAACAATCATATGAGGTAAGTACAGTTATTCCCAGTTTATGAATGAGTAAACTGAAAATCTTACAACTAGGAAGAGGCAGAGCAGATATTTGAAAACAAGTTATAAAACATATCCCTCTAACATGGTAAGCCCTAAATACATACCTGAAGAATTAATAAAAATTTAAAGCTACGTCTTCAGAGCCAGACTTCCACCTGGGGGTTTGGAAATCTCAATGCTATGCCAAATAACCGGTGGTGGGCACAGTTTTAGAAGCCAATTATGGCGACTCCTGTCACAAAAGTGTCCTTGTAGAAAAGACAGCTTGGTTTGTTTCTGTTGACAAAGTCAAATCAAACTGCTACCACTTCTCTCCACAACTAACCGTAACCAGTTTTTTTCCCAGTAATAATGACCTGACAGCTGTTAAGTGTTTAAGGAATCCCATTAATGAGAACCCCTCCTCTCCTGAGTTCTGAACCAACTGAAAATTGTGATAAAGGGTTAAAGCAGATGGAGATTAAAACATTCACAAGCTCACCATTGTTACTCATGGAGCTGACATTAGATCATGTGGTTGCCTTCTTTACCCTAGAATTGGAAAGATTGACTACTGTAGGCATTTGTCATGAAGCTTAATGCAGAGCTGAGAACAGTAGAAAATGCAGGATTTCTAAGACTAAATTTACTCCAAAAAATATCAGGAAGAAGGGGATTAACAAAGAACGTCCAGGTTCTACTTCCAAATTCATCAAGCAAATAAACCACCTCTCTTCAGTAGAACAAATGAGAAAATGAAGATGGGCAGCAATATAAAGGCAAGGGAGAGTTCAGCCCTTGATCTAGAGCAAGCACCAGGAGAGGGAAGAAGTGCTCTCCACCAACAGTAGCTGTTACTTAAGGAGAGCCTAATGTATCTTCTGATATGCTATTCTGAGTGCTTTTCCCTCATTAGCTTATGCAGTCATATGAATTTTGGGAAGTACGTGCCATCATTAGTTCCATTTTGCCAAGGAAGTAATGGAGCTTAGAGCATGCAAATAAATTGCTCAAAGTCACACAGCTAGGCATGATGACACGGATTTAAATCCTCCAAGCACAATCAGTATAACGCTTTTTAAGTTATTTAGATTTTAGTATGGAAATTTAAGCCATTGAAGAAGTATTGCATACACTCCATTACATTAGTCACTGTCAATGTCATGGACTAGGTTTGTGTACTGGATTGTAAACCTTTTCCCTGTGGGAAAAGGCCACTACACAAGACACTGGAATATAAAATCCTTGTACCATGCATGATGTATATAACCAGCCTTATCTTCAGGGCATGGTGGGTTATGTGCCTAGGGCTCTGCTTTTACCTGAAAGAATGTAATGTACAGACTTTGGCTGAGGAGGGTGCTTAGAGCTCACTTTCATTTGGCTCTTCAGAGGAAATCTGCTTATTTGCTTACAATGCCCAGAACATTGTCTGCTTTTAAAATTTTTATATAAAAGGCTTTCCTTGGTCCATTGACCCTTGAATATTTTTGTAATTTAGCTTTATTCTTTAACTTTTATAATGCTTAAACCTGGTTTTTACTTTTTCTGCAGATACTTAACTTACCTTCCCTATTCTATATTAGTTTTACTAATGAAAAACAGGAAACTTTGCAAATGAAGAAACATTCTCTCCAAGGGTCATTCATTCTCAGAGAAGTTCTGTGCCACCCTCCTGGTGGTTGCAGCTATGAGAGCACTCCCAGTGAACTGAAAAAGTTCCCATTCTGTTTCTAGACAATCATCTCTGGATTACCATGGCTCCTGCAAAGTCAATATAGCTATGTGCTGAAATCTCTTCACCAGAAAGCAAAAGTCCAACCCCAACGTTCACCTAGAGAGTTACTGAAACTCTGTTATCTCCTCTTTAAACAAAATACTTTTTTGTATGGAATAGCAGCAATTAATAGTTACAGTTTTCAAACACATAACTATCTGACATTAGCTAGGACCACTAATCAGCTCATATTCTGTATCACAAAGTATATAGGTAGAAAGTTCTATTCAGGAAGATTCCTCAGTACTCTGTCACCATGCAGCCTTTATCCTCTTTTAAAGGGAAGAAGAA